GCGTCGATTCATTATTTCAAATATTATAATTCACTTTTAATAAATCGAAACAATGCCTCGATTACGATTAAGCTACACTTTTATTTTTATATAAGTACTCGCTCTTCTTCCTTTTCCTTTTCTTTTTTTCATCATTACTATAACTACTTTCTATTTAACTTCTCAACCTTAACCTTAACACCCAACTTTTTAACTTTAACTTTAACACTTAATTTCTCAACCTTAACCTCAATACTCAACTTTAACTTCTTAACCTTAATACTCAACTTCTTAACCAACCTTAACACTCAACTACAATTACATTCAACTTAAGTAATTATTTTCCTTTTAATTCTTTGCTTTTTAATTCCTTGCTTCAAGCTAATTATTTTTTTTATTTAGCAATATCGATTCTTTTCTTTTATAACGCTATAATCGAGGTCAACCTTTTTAGCACCGGTAGCAACAAGCTAATCAATAAAATACTTAATCGTTATAAAGATTTCGTAGTCGTTTATATTAATAATAACGTTATTAATTCAATGTTTACTTATTATAACGGAAAAGATACCGCTTTATTTCTAAGACTAATCGGCCTCGATTACGAATAAAAAGGTCGCAAAGGTTTTATCGACGAGTTCGGCATTAAGCATTACGATGCTAATAAAGTTAGTAATAATATCTATATACTATAATCACTAATTGATTTTTTATTTAAAAGAAGAGCGCTTAAGTCTTTTATCTCTTCGACCACTTTATCTTTTTCTTTAATTTAATTAAAAAGCAATTTACTTATAAAGATATCAAGGTTCGATTGATCTTAAGTGATTTTACTTTTAAGCTTTTCGATAGCGATTATGCCGAAGCTAAAAGCATTTTAAAAGAGCTATTAATACTATACCCTTTTACTATCGATAGCACTTTAGTATACAAACGCTTTACTCTTAAGTTCTCGAATGAAAATAAGTTTAAGTAAAGCAATAAGTATTAAAAGCTAAGAGAGCTACTTAAATCAAACGAGATTTATCTGAACTATGCTTATAAGCAAAAACTTAAGCTAAAAGCGAAGACCGAGTTAAACGTATTCTACGTAATTGCAAAAGGACGAGTCTTTATTAACTTTTTATAATTAATAGACTTAAGCTAAAGAACGAGTCTTTCAAACCCTTAAGCCTTTATAACTAGTAAATTTAACCACTACTTTAAGTCTTTGATTAATAAATGTGATTAGTAAATGTGATTAATAAATATAATTAATAAATATGATTAGTAAATATGATTAGTAAATATGATTAGTAAATGTGATTAATAAACTTGATTAATAATTATGCATATGCATATTTTTATATATATAAACCTTATAAAGTAACCTTACGCCTTATAAGGTTTCCTTATAAAGAGGGGCAGAATTTTATACCTCCCGTGGGTTCCCCCGTAAGAAGGACTCAAAACTCCGTGGGGCCCCATGGGGCCCCATGGAGCAGCCTACTTCGAATAAAGTCCGCTTTATATATATAATATGCTCGTATATAATAGATCGAAAGCATATAAGTATAATAACGTAAAGCTTTTTAATATAAAAAAAGAAATAAAGAGAATATAAGAAAAAGGAAAATAAAGAACACTAAACTTAAAAAAAAAAAAAAAATCAAAAATCAAATTCAAACTCGTCTTTTTTTTACGTATAATCATGCCTTTATAACTCAATCACTTTTTATTGCCTTTTTATCATTGCTTATAAAGACTCTTGCGTATTAGCTCCGTTGCTCTTTCGTAAAGCTAAATA